TTGGGTAAGCTAGTCATATGGTCTGATGCACCAGAATCTATAATCCAAGGAATTCTATGATTACCTGAGGCTGTAGCATGATTTGCAAAAGCACGAACACCTGAATGGGCAAAGGTGGATGTAGAGGGGGTGCCTAAGGAGGAAGATGCAATGGTAGATTCCAAGTGATGTATCAACTTCCCATATCTCTCAAATTCTACCTTCAGTGCTACCAGCTGTTGCACAACAGATTTTTCTTCACTTTCAGATACTGTAGCAACATTTGCATTCTTGGGCTTTCCAGACTGACCACCCTTGGAAGAAGATCTGGATGAAGTTTCCAACAAGAATCCTCCGTATGTTTTGGCTTCTTGCAATATTCACATATCACCTCCTTTTTTTCATTTACCCCCTTTGGTTTTAATCCAGCATGTGCAAAATGTTCTGGGGGAGGTGGGGTCTGTAGTTGTTCCTGTCTCCTGCTCTCTTCACTGCTCACCATAGAGTATGCCTAAGCAAGTGACACTTCATCCTTGGCCAGAATATTTTGCCTTGTAATATCAAATTCAGGATTGAGTCCTGTAAGGAATCCAAACACTCTATTTCTTTCCACAAATTTTCTGAAAATTTATGAATCTTTGGTGCTTTCCCACACGAATGCTTCAATAACATCTATTTCCTGCCATAGTGACTTCAACATCGAATAGTAGACAGCCACACTCTTCTCCCCCTGTTTTAAAATTTTCACATCATTCTTCAGTTTATAGGCCCTTGCAACATTTAATTTCTAAGAGTATGTTTCTATAACACTATCCCAAATCTCCTTGGCTGAAGTCATCCACAGATAGTGTTAACTTATATGAGGTTGCATAGAATTTACCAACCACCCAATAACTGTGTAGTTATCCTACATCCATTTCTCATATGTAGGATCAGTCTCTTCCAACATCACCTTACTACCCGTGAGAAACCCTAGTCTACCTCTACTACAGACATGGATCTTAATAGATTGTGCCCAAGCAAGTTAATTTGTTCCGTCAAGTTTAATTGTAGTCACTCCAGTCAAAATGGAATCTACGGAACCAACCCTCGACACCGGGATCTGCTTCATCTTACTTCCATATTGCTCCATCAATCAAACAAAAATAAAAAAACAATGTTTTCAACCTTTATAGACCTAAGTAAGGTCAATCAAACACTCAAAATCCCAAAACTAGGGTTTTCGTACCTGGCCTCCGGGGAGAAAGAGAGAAGAGGTAGCCACTCAAACCAAAGCAATCCAAACCACTTCCAACTGCAGCTGCCCACTTTTGGAGATAAAAAGGAACCCTCCAAGCCTTGAGCGCCACACCCAAACAGCCTCTTCAACCCATAACTAGAAACTCTCTAGTCGGCTAGGGTTTTGGGAAAAAAAAATCTGTAGTCCCACTTTCTTGGCAATCTTCGGCCAGGTTCTGACTCTCCAAACCCTCTACCAACTAGGCAAACAAGATCTCTGATTGATCAACAATTTATTTCTCCATACACCTTTCGATTAGAAAAAAAGTGTATGGGAAAAATGGAAAAAAAGGAGAAAGCGAAGGAGGACCTGCTCTGATACCAAGATGTGATTCAGACCAATAAAATTAGCAGAAATATTTAGATTAGAGCAAAAAGAAAGAAGGAAGAAGAGGAAGACAGCAAGAAGAAGAARGAAAAATGGAGAAGAAAGGAGAAAGAAAGGAGGAATTCGATAATCTCCTCTTTCCCCTACTCTAATCTTTTTATTAAACTTAMTYAAGTTRCATAATTTACAAGGAGGCCCTTAAGTAGGCATCCACATCAGCAATACACTTAAAAAACAAAACAGAAGCTAAAGGCCCATAAAGAAAGAAGGCCCAATAAGAAAACATAACAAAAAGGAATTAATAAGAATGACACTAAAGGACTAGGGCCCATTCGGCCCAGTCTCTCTACAGAATATACAAAAAGACCTGAGAAATCAGCTAAAAAAGGACCAGCTTGCAAAAAATAAGAAAGTTGGACACCATTAAAAGCCCTTCATACACTTAACCAAGAACATAGATAGCTTATAGTTCTTCACTGCATTTACATCATTATAGTTATTGTCAAAAATCCAGTTGTTCCTTTCCTTGCAAAGAGCCCACAGTATAGTAGCTGAAAAAATCCTCCAAAGCAGCTTGCCCCTAACATTTAAACCCTTGAGAGTCCACCCTTGAAGAAGCTAAAGGACTAAAACAGGAATGCAGGAACAAATACCAAAACAAGACCCAGCCATTTCCCAAAGCTAGTGAAAAATACTGCAATGGATGAAGCTCTGATTAGAGGATCTAGGGACCTCATTGCAAAAAGGGCAGCAGATACTAGGAAGATGTATCCAGGAAGGCAGTTTTTGAGGGTGCATGGGAATTCCAGATTACAACCCAAGGGAAGTCTCCATTCTCATGAACCACAAGGTTGTTGTACAAGGATTTAGAAGAGAATTTACCAGAGGTCTCCCAAGACCAGATTCTTCCATCATCTAACTGCGGGTTGGGCTTGAAACCTTGAATGTGACCTAGTAGCTCAGTTAGATGGTCAATTTCCCAATCATTCAGATTTCTTCTAAAAGTAGGGCCACAAATTATCTCACCATTCATTGATTCAAAGCACTCTTCAACCACAACATCTTTATCTTGAGCAATGTCAAAGAGAGAGGGGAACCTCTCACTCAAAGCAAAGTCCCTGCACCATTGTGTCAAGACAAAACTTAAAGAGATTACCTTTGCCAACCTTGCATCTAATCCCCTTCAAGAAATCAGGAAGAATAGAGACAATATGACTCTACAGGGCACATCCCCTTGGAAGAAGACTAGGACCCGAGTCCCACCCCTGACTTGTGAGCCCATATTTATCCCCAATGATTCTTCTCCAGAGGCTGCTCCTCTCTTTGCTGACTCTCCAACACCATTTGCCAAGAAGGACCTTGTTGACAGCTTTAATGTTTCTAATGCCTAGACCACCAGCTCTTCTTGATTGGCGCACCGATTTCCAACTCACCAAATTGAATTTGAAGTTGTTCCTCCAGCCAGCCCATAAAAGGACACACAATTTCTTCTCTAAGAGCTTTGCAACACTAGCAGGGATATGAAATAAAGATAGGTAATAAATTGGGAGTGGAGACACTCCTGATCAGAGTAAGTTTGCCACCTTTTGATAAGTACCTAAATTTCCACGGTCACAATTTCCTGTCAAATCTATCAATAACCGGATCCCATATCCTCTTGGAACTGCTTTTGGCCAAGGTAGGTGGTAGGCAGGTTCACAGATTTGCAGCCCAACATACTAACCAGTCGGGGTTGGGAATAACTTCCTCTATCTTCAACAAGTCACTCTTAGAAAGATTGATTTTGAGGCCTGAAAAAGCTTTGAACCATCTAAGAATGAAGCCAGAAAAAAAAATAAAAAATCAGCTGGTCAGATGAGGAATCACAAAAGAAGATGGTGTCATCAGAAAGTTGAAGCAGGGAGAACTACTCACTGCTCTCCCCAACTTTAAACCCATGAATGAAGCCACCAGCTGCTGCTCTACAGGTAAGCTTACTCAAAGCTTCCATTATTATATTGAATAGGAAGGGAGACAAAAGGTATCCTTGTCTTAAACCCCTTGGGCTTTTGAATCTTCCACAAGAAACACCATTGAAGAGAACAGATAAAGTGGGAATGGTAACACAAACTTTGGTCCAATTTCGCCATTTGGAGGGGAAGTTCATTCGAGAAAGCATATAGTCCAGGAAATTCCAACTAACATGATCAAAAGCCTTCTCTATATCCACCTTGAGAATCAGCCCTTCTCTGCCTTCCCTTTTCCGCAAGTCAATCAACTCGTTAGCGATAAGGACCCCATCAAGAACCTGTCTCCCTTCTACAAAAGCACCTTGGGAGGGAGAAATGATCTGGCCCATCAATCTCTTCAGCCTTGAAGCTAAAACTTTTGCAAGAATTTTATAGACACTTCCTATGAGACTGATGGGACTGAAATCTGTCAACTCCAAGGCCCCATCCTTTTTTGGAACCAAGGTGATAAAAGTTGAGTTGAAGCACCTTTCCAAAGCCGCATTTGCATGGAACTCTTCAAAAACCTTCAAGGGATCCTTCTTTATAAAGTGCCAGTCCAGCTTGTACAGTCAATGTACGATCAAGTTGGACCCCGTTTTGCTTGCAACAGATCCCTTGGAATAAAGACATCCTTGTAAAATGCTCCCATCTAACAGTTAAAGGTTTTGCCACTTGGTGTAAAGAAAGTATATAACTAAGGTTAAAATGGCCATTACACAATGTTGGTCCCAACTATCTTGGGTCTTGGGAGGGCAGACTGGATACAGACCTAATCTTTGGGCACAAAGTGACTGGTCTCAGACTAGAACTCATATTCTCATGGTTATCAGCACGATATTTTACAATAGTTCCTATGTACATAACAAAGGTTAATACATTGAAATAACTGTTCAAGGAAGAAATTCAACTTCAAAAAGTAGAAAGCTTGAGGGAAATTAGTCTGGGTACAATGTCAAAGACAGAAATGAGGAAAATATCAAATCATTACTCATGCTGCCCACATCTTTCACAAACACACAATGTCTGTCTAGAAACTTTGGTTCTGGTTCTGCATCTTTTTGTGTCCATAAGGACCATAACTTACTTATTCATGCATCATATATACTTATATAGTATGAGTTAAACAGCAATATTTTCTTTTCCTCCAGAAAGAGTGGAACTTTTATTGTCTTAATTTAGGAAGAGCAAATACAAATATGTATAGTGCAAATACAAAGTTTAGAAATACAACATGCAAGGTTTTGCACTGTACGTATTTGTATTTGTACTCTTCCCAAACTGAAACTAAGAAGAAAGTGTCATCATCTAAAATGAGGCAAGCAAAACTGCAAAAGTACAATAACGGAAGCTGAGCAAACCTATGAATCAAGCAATAATGGAAACAAGCCATTTACGGTATAGCTTTTGAAAGATATGTAGCATACCTTGCACGCTTGTTCTCTTGTTCGCTTTTCATAGGTAGAAACCCTCCATCAAAGACAAGAATAGGTCTGACACCATAATGCCGTAACAAATTTACCCTATGCATGCAATAGTCGATATGCCTACAAGTTCAAAATAAAGAATTAATGAAGTATTAAAACACAATCCAGCTCTCATGACATATAATATAATACAAATAGTTACCCTCTATTCTTTTCTATTTTCCCCTTTGTTGATAAAGGTGAATAAGAATCACCACAAGAACAATCCTTTAGTGCCATCAAGCAACAAAGTTCCACTGCTCCTTAAAATCCTCCTATCATTATTACCTAATCTAGTTTACTTACATTGAATTAACATTATTTAGAGTGGCTTCTTTGCAGCTGACCGATATCCTGCGAAGCATAAGGTAGTCAAATTTGAACTAGTTATTGTGGTGGCAATTATCATTTACCTTTCCTTTTATCCTATATGCAGAGGCACTGTTGGATAAACCAATATCATGATTTCCATCTCTTTCCTTTTTCCCTCTTAAACACCAAACTTTCAAGGTGGAAATTTGTTTTGAAGAAACCTAGTGACTTATTCAAGTAAACACCAAACTTTTTCCCTCTATATGTTGTTGCTTGCCATGCTTCTAAATTTTGGATGGGGTCCTTTGTTTATTTTTTGTCAAGGCAAATGAAGCAATAAATCAAGAGAGAAGTCTTCATCTCAGCAGCCAAAGAATAACAATGCCAAGAAGAGGAAAACGCATAAGTTATGTTCTCTCTAACAATACAAAGGTTGGAATAACGAAAATAAGTTATTTAAGAACCAATGCGTATAGGATGAGGAGAATCCTTTTTTCCATTATTTTCTTTCTACTATATTACCTGGAGGTGGGCTCGCCCTTGCAGAGCTCCTTGCTGCAAAAAAACGCTCCTTTGTGCAGCCAAGAATAGGTATCGACGGCAACGGTGAGACCATTGAAGTCCTTAATGTGGGTCGGGATCATTATCGACTTCAACAGTGGGAGAAGACCCTGAATCCCCATTTCTGTTCTTTCGGGCAAGATAAGCCACGGGAGGACCGGGATGCAATCTCCGAATATCGAAGAGACAAGAAAAAACCTAAAATGCTGCCATTTTGAGAGAGAGAGAGAGAGGTACTCTGAATTTTACCAAGATCGAAAAGTTAAAAAAAATGGAAATAACACAGAGAGACAAAAAATGGCGGGAAGCAGGAACAACAGGAGAAAATTGTTAATTGTACATCTATTCGTGAAGATTCAGACTTTCAAAGGTAGCGTGGGTCGAATCGAATCGGATACAGGTAGATAGGGCTGTAAATGGATTGGATTCGGATAGGTTCCATATCCGCATCCGATTATAAAACATATGAATATGCATCGGATTATCATATTGGATTTTAGATGGGAATTCGATTTAAAATGACAAAAAAATTAAAAGTTTAGAAAAACATAATTATTTTTAATCTATACATGTATAATTTATAATAGAAATATTATTATAGTTTATTTATAATTTATTATTTTATTATTATTTTTCATTTCAGTTTATTAATATTCCATTATTTTGTTTATGATTTAAATTTACTTTATTATTATTTAATAATTAATATATTAGTATTTTATTATTACTTTCATTATATTATATTAATATTTCATTTGTACTTTATTATTATTTAATAAATAATATCTTAGTATTTATCATTCATTTATGAACATTTTATTATTACTTTAATAACATTTATATTATTACAATTTATTAATAATTTATAATTTTATTATTGTTTTAATTATTAATATATTCTTTTTTTATTATTATATATTATCATATTATTACTTTCATAACATTTTATTATTTAATTATTAATGTGTTATTGTTATTTTATAGAATATTATTATTATTATTATATTGTATTCATATTTTATTATTATATTGTTATTATTTTTATCTTATAATTAATTTAGTAATATTTTATTATTTTAGGGTTTGAAAGTTTTTTGTCATGAGTTCTTTACTTCTTTGATATACTTTAGAATGGGAAGCTTGGAATGGCCATTCCCCAAGAATGGGAGTCAAAACCCCATTCCCGCCAAACAAATGCTTGAAATCTAATTCTGATTCCAAGCACCCTATTCCAAAAAAACCAAATACATCATCGAGTCTTATGTTATTAACCAAAACGTTATGACATGTGATGATTTCACTTGTAACAAAAAAATAGATTTTCGGCTCTAAGAACACATGTACTTTACAAAAAGGCCACTTTTGCCCTTGTACAATTGGAAAGGTCAATTTAGACCTCAAACTTAAAAAAAAATAAAGGCTATCGTAGCCCCAAAACGCACGGTGTTCGTGATGCCATTCACAATCCATTAAATAATGAATAAAATAATAGAAAATACTGATATAACACTATTAAACTTAAAAAACTGAAAAATTGCAAAGGGTTCCATTAAATAAAATAAAACTATTTAATATATAATTAATAAATATTGAAAATAATATATAAACGGGTCCCACTTGAACTTTCCTCTTTTTAGAGAAAAAATGATAGGCAGGATCCACTTAAAATTATAAGTGGCCCCCCACTTGAAACTTCCACTTTTGAGAGAGAAATAATAGATAGGTCCCACTCTAACTTTCCTACTTTAAGAGAAAAATAATAGGTTGGTAAAAGAGGTAATTTCAAGTAGGACCCATTTATATATTATATTCAATATTATTTATTAATTATATATTAATAGTATTGTTTTATTCAGTGGGACCAACTTGCAATTTTTAGCAACATGCGTTTTGGGGCTAACGATGGCCTTTTTTTTAAGTCTGAGATCTAAATTGACCCCTCCAATTGTACAAGGGCAAAAGTGGTCTTTTTCCACAAAGTACAAGATTGTTAAAGCCGAAAATCCTAACATAAATTATCCATTATTCATGTCTCTTCTAACAATATAGTAAAAATCTAACTGTAATCATTTCGTTCATAACTAGACCTAATTCCACTTGTAACTAAACCTATAAAGAAAATGTCGAATAAAGAATGGATGTCCTCTTTTCATCATAGATTGTAGGGAACATGTTCCATCATCGTTGTTGAGCGGTCCTGTGATTCTGTACAAATCAAAAAGTAGAGTTAAATACTATAATCAACAAAATAATAAAATTCAAATTTCTTACCAATTCATGCCCATGAATATCGAGTTGATCTTGGTACAGAAAGCAATTCTTACATTCAAAGCAGACGAACGGATATTTCTGGTGAATTTGATTGTTATGTATGAAGTTGAAGAACCTTCTTTATCTTTTAATAAGATTTTCCCCACTGCCATCAATATACTCCATAATGAGCTATGGAAAGAGGGAGAGAAGAGAAATTGAACAATCTGCACGAAGACGGAGGGAGAGAAGAGACGGGAGAATTATAGTTAGAGGGAAAGGTTCAGAAATTAAAATAGGTCAAGATTCTTTTATTTTATAAAGAAGGATAAAATATAAAAATCTCCCCTGAAGTTTCTTACAATTACAACAACCTCCCCTAAGATTTTACTTTAACAAAAACCTCCTCTATAATCTCACAAAAAACTTGTAGTTACCTCCATTTCCATCTTTATCTCAATAATGGAGACTTCAAAGTTAGAAAATTACCCTTACAACTTATTAGGGCATCTTTCATTATAATTCAAAATGCCAGATTCTCCTTTCTAGATTTTACTAAACGTAATGTTTTATAGAGTAAAATTACTTTATTATTTTGAATGCGATTCAGAATTTTTTTAAACCAAAAATGAAAAGTTCTTTTTGGGGTATTTTAATGAATTTCCACCTGAATTAATAGATAATGGGGTAAAATGGATACTTTTGAATAACTAATGCTATAGGCCATTGTTTTCTGTCCGGGACAATAACAAAAGGAAGGTAGCTACAGGCTTTTTTATACTAGAGTGGAAGATTTTGTGAAAGTGAAACCTCAAAGGAGGTTTTTATCATTGTTAGAAACCTCAAGAAAGATTTTTATATATTGCCCAAAAGAGAAACCAAACTAGGAACGACAACCGAGCGGATCCGGGGCAAGGACTATATTCCCTATTCCCAACCTTGACTTTGAAACAAACCTCCATCACACCACCCCAATCCCCATTGGGGATGGGTTCCCTATTAGAAACCTAAATCCTTTAAAATTTTAAATAAAAATTATTTTTTAAAAAGAGATTTACTTAAAAGAAATATTTTTAAAATAAAAAAAAATATTTTGATATATATAATATAAATAATATCATAAATAATATTATATATGTATATATTTAATATATATAATCAGGGGCGGGGCGGGGCATGGAATTCACTCCCCATCCCTAGTCAGGTATCACTATCAATCCTTGTCCTTACCTTTTATCCATACTAAGGCGATCTTCATCCCCAAACCAATGGGGTCAAGGAAGCTGGATACTTGATGGGGACAGGGAAAATTGTCATCCTTAAATCAAACCGTCCGATACTAGTTGATTGGTGGCCTGGAAAACCTATACACAGGTTGAGCCAAAACTCCTCTACACCAACCATTTTAGAGGAGTACTTTAGGGCCCATTTGGTTTGCAAGAATACTGAATAGGGGTCTAAAATCGGAATTCAACTATTTGGTTAGGTGCAAATCAGAATCCCACTCCCATTCTTAATGGAATTCTTCCATTTGAGGGAATTGACATTTCCTCCCCTCCCTTGGGAATGAAATCCCATTCCAACCAATTTCAATTCCCATTCTCATTTTTGTCTAAACCAAACAAACTATGGGAATAGACCATTTTGATTCCGATTCTAACAGATTTTGATTTTAATCCTAACTATGAACCAAACAGACCCTTAAGTGCTTATCTCAAAATTTCCCCTCAACTTCTATTTATTTTGCAGAAAAATATTTTATAGGAAAACAACTTCCTCAACATTTAATAGAAAGTTGTTTTCCAAAATGCAAAACTAAGCATAATAGAGGACTTAAGACTTTTGTCACTTTGTTAAAACACTTAATCTAAAGGCCTCCACTCTCTCTACTCTAACAATTGATGTTTTGGTGGGCCCCACCTAGTTAGGGGCTTCAACTTATTGGAGAATTGAACTCACTTTCAAAGGTTTTGCCATGTGGAACCTTTATGTTTCACATTGCACTCAAAAATAAGAAAATTTTATGGTAACAAAATGTTTTTGAGAGAAAACAAATGTTCCACATTTCACAGAAACTGAAAAATTTCCCCATTTCCCCTGACAAAACAAAAGCCTCCTAAAAAAATCCAAAAATCTCTCCATATATAACCTTGATATTTAAAAAAATGCCACATGAATGAAACTTCATTTTTTTTAGTCATGTAAAGTAATGAAAACTTCAATTTGTTATCTATAAGCATTCCAATTTTTGGCAAAATATTGTGAAATTTTCACTTGTTTTGCAAAAATCAATTAGATGATGAGCTTCTCATTGCAATTATGCCAAATTGGAATTTATTTCCAATATGAAAGGTTGTACGTAAAACAAGAAAAAGGAGAGAGTAACTAGAGAGCTAGAAGAATTTCTAGAAGTAGAAATTGGAAAACTAAAATCTCTTTCACTCAAGTTATAGGAATGACCCTTTTCCACCAATCTATCACCTCTTTGTTAGTGTGGTTAGCTTACAAGCTACGAGGTTACCCATGAATCTGATATATCTATATTTATATATCTATCTATCTATACTAGCGGGGACTCGTGCGATGCACGGGAAAATCTGAAAGAGTTAATAATTTTATTTATTATTAATTAATATTAAATTAATAATAAAAAATTCATATGACTTTTTATGTATACAATTGTTTATATATACAATTAGACCTATTCATGGGCTAGGTAGCCCGATTGATCCGTTATTTTTCAGGCTTGGACAAAATTTTAGGCTCATGGGCACGAGCTCAGGCTTTCTCAAATAAGCCTGGCTCGAAACTATTACATATATAAAAAAGTACTTATGTTATATATAATAAATATAACATATATGTGCTTCTTAAATTATTAATAAATATCAATTTACCATTAGGAAATATAAATTAGTTTATTAATTTATTAAATCATTACTAAATTAATATAATATTAGTTTATAAAAGTAAATAAAAAATAAGACATTTTGTGTACAGTTCAGGCTTCGGGCTCGAGCTCGAGCTTTGGGCTTTATATAAGGGTTGGGCTT